ATTGAAATGTATCTAGGTATCAGGTTTCTGCACACTTTTTGGCTTCCTTGAAAAAGTGTCTTTCTCCTTGGATTTGCATTGCCATGTATATTACTGTTTTTTTCTTGGGACAGTTGTTGGAACCTTTCTTGTGCACTTTCCAGTCACTATATGCCTTTTGTATTGCTTAAAAATAACTAATAAACTGATTCCTAATTTCTGATTTTCTATTTTATGTAAGTGCAATAATACAGAATGCACTGCCTTGTCTGGTTTTTCTTCAATATTTTGTGAAATTCATCCACATCATTTTGCATAGCTGTAGATTGTTAATTCTCAATGCTATATTATATTCTACCATGGAATATACCACAACTTGTCTATTTTTGTTAATGGACGTTTGAATATTCTTCAGTTTTTTTCTGTTACAGTGTTGCAATGAATACTCTAGTGTATGTCTGTTGGTGAATGAATGTGTGAGTTTTCCCTTGGGTATACACTTAGAAATAAAACTGTTAGGTCATAGGGTATGCATATGTTCACCCTTAGTAGATACTGCCAAACAGTTTAACAAAGGACAAGTGACCTCCCCACTAGCATTGTATAAGAGGTATGATTGCTCCACATTTTTGTCAACTCTGGTATTGTCTTTTTCATTTTATTCATTTTTGTCTAGGTACATAGTGGTGTCATGTTATGACTTTAATTTGTTAGGCTGATAACTAATAAAGGTGAGGTTTATATTTTCAAAAGTTCCCTCTTAAGTCTTTCACTTATTGTCCCCCAACCCCTATCATCTTTGGGGTGTTTTTTCTTACTGATTTCTAAAAGTTCTTTACAAAATCTAGATACATCTTTGTCAAATATATGTATTGGAGATACTTTCTCCTACTCTGAGTTAATCATTCTCTGAATGAATAAAAGTTCTTAATACAGACCGATTTATCATTTTATCTTTATGTCTAGAGTTTTTGATATTTCCTGTTTAAGAACTTTTACCCAAGTGTACCAAAGATTAATCTTGTCCAAAGAAAGATACAGCCCTTATCCCTGGCTCCTGGAAGTTAACCTGTAGGCCCCTGGAATGTCCTGCCTCAAAAGAGTGTCTTTGTTCACTTGGGGCCTCAAACCATGCCAAATAGTATATATTAACAATATGATTTATGGTGGGGGCCTTGGCCCATATGATATCACACTGACTTCTGGAAGAGCAGGAGACTAAGATTAGCAATGTGGGAAGAGAGCCATGACTATGTGACTGACCCCCAATATAAACCCTGGACATCAAGGTATGGTTGAGCTTCCTTGGTTGACAATACTCTGTGTGCATTGCCACACATCACTCTTGGGAGAAGCAAGCATTGTTCACATATGCCACTGGGAGAGAACAACTGAAAGCTCTCTGTGCCTGGTCTATCCTGCGCCCTGCCCTATGCACCTATTCCTGTGGCTGATTTTAATCTGTATTCTTTCACTACGGTAAATTGTAACCATAAGTATATCAGCTTTGCTGAGTTCTGTTCTTCTAGTAAATTGTTGAACCTGGCGGCATTCTCAGGGATTTCCTGAATCACAGCCTACCACAGATTAAGCAGATGTTCTCCTGTTTCCTTTAAAAACTTTAGTATTTTATCATTCACATTCAGTTTTTCCTTTAGAACTGATTTTGGTATTTGGCATGTGAAAACACAGGTCGAGATTGCCATAAATCAGCTGACCACCTGTGCATATGTTTCTACTCTTTGTATTTACTCAGTCTTCCAGCTTTTTTTTTTTTAAGATTTTATTTTTATTTATTTATTTGACAGAGAGTGTGAGAGCACAAGCAGGGGGAGCAAGGGGGGGAGTGAGGAGTAGATTCCCTGCTGAGCAGGGAGCCTGGATGTGGTATTTGGTCCCAGCACCCTGGGATCATGACCTGAGCTGAAGGCAGATGCTTAACCATCTGAGCCATGGAGGCACCCAGTCCTCCAGCTTTTTGTTCACTAAGAATAACTTGGTTATTCCTGGCTCTTTGTATCTGTGTGAGTTTTCAGCTTGTCAATTTAATTTAAAAAACCTGTTGGAATTTTGATGAGGGTTATGTTGAATTATAAATTAACATCTTTACATCTGACATCTTTACAATATTAAATCTACTTGTCCTTGAACATGGTATATCACTATCTCCTTTTATTTAGATTTTTTGTCTCTCAATAATGATTTGTAATTTTCAGTATAGAGTTATTGTCCATCTTATTTTCTTTAGATTTATTCCTAAAAATTATTTTTTAAATGATGCTACTGTAATTCATATAATTGATATGTGTAAAAATCCAAAGAATCTACAAACTATCAGAACTGTTGCCACTATAAAGACAATAAACAAAAATACTTTATTTCTATATACAAGCCACATATATAAAAAAGACAGGCTAATCTTCTATTAGAAAAATATTTCTCTTTAAATATGGCTTTTAAAAAGATCTGTGGAATTGGAAAGTAATTTTTAAAATAAAATTCTTAAAATATTTTCCCTGAAATTTCCTTTGCAGTTATTTCCAGCTTCAAGAGAAAAACAATGTAAGAAATGTAATTCATTGGTAGTCATTTTGGTAGAAACATATATTCCAAAAAAATTAATAAACAGACATGTTATAATTCAATGATTTTTATAGTAAAGTTTTAACTATTTACTATTTGAGATTTTAACAATTTGAGACTTTAACAATAACTTTCTTTTCTTTCTTTCCTGATATTGGAGATTACATAACTGTTTTTTTCGATTGTTTTTCATTACATACAGTTCAAAACTAAGTATTTGTATCTTAAAGACTTCGGAATCAAAACCTAGAAACAAAATTAAAAACCTACCCTTATATAGAGTTTAAAGCTTGCTTTTATATAAGTTCTAGAACTTCAATTACTGTATTTACTCCTGAGTATGCAAACTCATAACTGCAATTAGATGCTACTTTACCTTAAAATGATATAATATCTATAAAAATACAAATTATCGTGAAATTCCATTTTAATCTACTAAATAGCTATTTTCAGTTTGTCAACAAGTTCTAATAATGGTCTTGTTACCTTCTGATTAGATTAGCACACAATATTTTTTATTTATCTATAAATATTCAAGTTCTACTTTCTAAGTATCAAGCAAACCTTCAAGGAAACTTACTTATAATAAAGACAGGTATTAATTCTGTGATTTCAATTCTTAATTCCTGGATTCTTAAAAAAAATAACTAAAGCTTTACTATTTCCTCAGCAGGGGAAAAAAAGGAAAAAGCCCATATAGCAGTCTACTTTCTACAGTAAGTACATGGTAGCACAATGATAGAAAGTAGCAGATGAGGGCACTTAGGTGGCTCAGTCAGTTAGGTGTCTGCCTTTGACTCAGGTCATGATCCAGACTGGGATCAGGCCCCACATAGGTTCCCTGCTCAGTGGGAGTCTGTTTCTCCCTCTGACCCTCCTCCCTCTCATGCTCTCTCTTTCACTCTCTCTCACAAATAAATAAATTTTTAAAAAATCTTAAAAAAAAATAAAAGACTTTTAAAAAAAGAAAGTAGTAGATGGTCCATCTAAGCAACAGCCGAGTGAATCAGTAATATTTTGAAGATGGTAAATCTGTTGTGATCTCATACTTCAATGGACCACACTCTGTAATTAGTTTACACTGGATGACAGGACAACTCTACAATTAGTTCCTGTGATACCATGATTTATAATACATGTATATTTGGTCTTCACCAATGCTTACTGGTTCACAGATCCCCAAAACCTCAGAATTTTTGAACAGAAGAACAATGAAAGCATCTTTCGTTAAAATATTTTGTCTTTTGTCCTCAGTTCCTGAAAGCACTTCAAAACCATAAAGATAAAAATGAATGTCTTGTTATTCATAACAAGCCTCTTCCCACCACAACTGGGTTTATGTTAATGGACGACTTTTGAAAAGCACAGAAGGATGGAGGCTGGTTGCCAAGGGAACCAACCAGGAATAGAGGGTTGGAACTTATAGTCCCATCCCTTGATCCCTTGAAGAAAGAGAGAAGATGGAAAGGATAGGGAATGGAGGCTGAATCAGTCACCAATGGCCAATGATTTAATCAATCATACCTATATAATGTAGCTTCTATAAAACCTGAAAAGATGTTCAGAGAATTTCCAGGTTAGTGAACACATGGTCAAGGGAGAGTGGCACACGTGGGGAAGGCATGGAAACTCTAGACCTTTTCCCATAACTTCCCCAATGCATCTCTTCCATCTGACTGTTACTGAGTTATATATTTTTATTGTAAATCAGTAATCTAGTGAATAAAATGCTTCTCTGAGTTCTGTGAGGCATTCTAACAAATTAATCAAAACTGAAGAGGGAGTATGTTAAGAAAGCATAGGTGATAACCTGGACTTGTTACTGGCATCTGAAGTGGGAACACAGACAGTCTTGTAGGACTGAGTCCTTAACCTGTAACCTTAACTGTAACCCAAAGAACTTCTTTGTTCATGGGAACTTCTGATTTATAGCTGGTCATTTGAAGAACAGGTAACCACCTGGAATCGCAACTGGTGTCAAAAACAGAGGGCAGTTTTAGGGGACTAAGCCCTTAAACTGTGGAATCTGATACTATCTTCAGGTAGATAATGTCAGAATTGAGTTAAATTGTTGAATACCCGGCTGGTGTTGAGAGAATCGCTTTTTGATGTGGGGAACCACCATCCCTCCACTCACACATACACACATACATATCCTACATGTTAGAACTGGTGGCCAGAATCTTTAGTTCCCCAAATTGGGAATTCTTAATTATTTACCTACAGGGTTTATAAGTCTTTTGGTAAGGGGAAAAAAAAAAAAATCTGAACAATATAATTTTGAACACTAAATACATGTTATGTTTGATACCCAAGTACAAAACATAAATGGCCTTCTTCAGCTATGGCTCATCTTTACAAATGGCATAGCCATAAGGCTGAAGACTATGGCAGGTCTTTTATATGTGGTTTCCATAAAGGGATCTTGGTAAAGATACCTTACTTAGAAGTCCAAGCTTTAGCTACTCAAGAGGATGCTTTTGTTCTGTAAAGGGCAGCTGAGGTACTCCAAGCTTTCTGACATGCTTGCTTATACAGAGCAGTGGGCTGCAGCTGTCATCATCCGCCAGAGGTAGGAGGAACATCATCTGCACAGGCCCGCAGACTTGGGAGAGTCAAGAGACATAGGTTGTAAGACTTAAGAAGAAAACAGGCTGTCAAAGGAGAAAGAAGCAAAATTATTCCAGTGCACACAACTTCCTCTCTGGACAGCAATCAATGCAAATATAATGCTGGTAACTACAGGCATTTAACTTGTTTATGCTCCTTCAGTATTTGCTCATACTTCAACATTTATCACAGACATGTAATAAAGGAAGTATGTATGTATCTGTTTTATCCACTGGACTCTGAGAACCCTCAGATCTTGAACTTGGGTAAAACTGAGTGAGGGGCACTTTCAGTATGTATGCCAACCCATAAAATAGGTAATAATAATGTTAATTTACACAGATCACACATTTTGGATTAACTTTTCAAAAGATCTTAACAACTGGGTATATAAGTAACCTGTCGGTGAAATGGTGCTTATTTTTCTGTTTTTGCATGAATTATTTTCTTTGCTGAAACTGGAAAAAAAACTCATAAGTATTAAAATTTACTAAGAGAAAAGTGTGCCTCTGGGTTAGCTTAGCCAATAACACAGCATGTTAATTTGAATTAAATATAAATCATGAATTACAGGTTGCAGTTGCATTTGAGCTAAGTTGCACTGTTCTGTACAAGTCAGAAAACTATATAACTCAATTATCAAACAAAATCATAATTTGGGTGTTTATGAGTTTTATACACCCAACAAAGCCAAATGTTTGATATTGAACCAATCCTAAAAAAATACCTGTGTAGAGTTGTTGAGTTAAAATAAAATAAAATATGTTTAAAATAAATAAATAAAAAAAACACTGACCAGTTTTCAACTACAAAAGGTGTCCTCAAGGTGATCTAGTATACACAAATCAGATTATTAACATTACTTAGTGAAGAGTTACAATTAACATTGTCAAGTGTTTGCCTAAAATTCAATGGAGTTAGAAACAAAGGAAAAGATTCCATCATTTTGTGGGATGTCTTAATTGGACTGAGAGTAATATATATTATTATTTACATTTTGATAGATAGTTATTGGTTTCAAAACTACCTTAAGCTTAGAAACACAAAAGTGGCATTAAAGAAAATGGACAGGAGGAAGTTGATTTCTAGCTGCCTCATTATTTTTTTCTCAGTATCCCCTACCTCAGCAAAGAGTAAATCTTTGGGTAGTTGAGGATAAAACCACACAGTGATAGCTGATGCTTCTCCTTCCCTTACATCTCCTTTACTCATCTCCTTGATTAAATCATGTTAGGTCTGTCTTCAGAATATTCCCACCAACTGTCTTGCTATCAACCATTATTTCTAGCTTGGATTATTACAATAATATTTAGTCCTAAAGTGTTCCTTCACTTGTCTATTCATCCACCCATTAAATAACTACTAATAAACAACCACTTCAGTACACAGAGAATTACCCTTTTGGCCTTTACAAAACAAACACCTCTTATCTAACCTGAATCTCACAACGTGCATTGTTCCAGGACATAACTGCCCAGGGTACCTCAAAGTCAATACTGAGAAAATGAATGACTAGGTAAAGTATCATTTTCCAAGTTGGGATTCTAATGCTTTCATTCTAAATCAAACTAAACTAAAGAACCTAACTGATACGTCATTGAGAAAATTCAGAGAGCCACTGGAATCATGATATGCCATAATTTTTGGCATATAACTCAATAGGAATAAAAGGAATTGAACGACACTTCTATATTCTTTTTATTCCTCTCAAAAAGATGTTTTGGCCTTTACATCTCTGAAAATGAAAAGAAAAACAACTGATGTTGAACTCTGTCAGATGCTAGCAATAAACAATATTTATCCATGAAAACTTCAGCTAAATGATAAAAAGCCCAATGTCACCAAGAAATACATTTCAATAAAGCATTACTTTTTATAATTATTTGAAATTATAATATTTATATGTTGATTAGCTGTATATTAATAGTTATAATGATAAAAAAAATTTCCCTGGACTGACTTTTAACATTTAGAACATTATGACCACAAGATATGCAGTCAATATTAATACACACTTTTTTTTTTTTTTTTTTTTTGCTGCAGTGAAAAATGATAACCAGCAAGACTTTGATGCTTAAAACCATACTACATAAAAGTAGAATTCTATAGGTCTGGGTTTCTCAGAGGCATAGCACTATTTTGGGCCGATTAATTTTTGTTGTTGAAGGTTCCTTTGCGCAATGCTGGATATTCTGCAATATCCCTGGCTTCCTCCACTAGATACCCGGTAGCCCCTACTCCTAGCTAGGACACCAAAAATGTGTCCAGATACAGTCAAATGTCCCGAGAGGGAGGCAATAGTACCTGAAAACCACTACTGTAAAGGACAGAACAGCAATACAATATAATACTTAGACTATTAAAATGTTAGTTCACTTTTTAAAATTGGATGATGGGTATCTGTGGTACACATTTAAAAGAGTGGCTGTTATTGTAAAATAACATTTTATGATACACTGGAAATTACATTATTTGCTATTATTTAAACTTATGGCGAAGAGCTTTGGATGTTAGTTTATAATCCATTAGCCCAAAGCATCCTGTAATTTATAGGACAGGTGGGTAATGTACTTTAACATTCAATGTACTTTAACATTCACTTACTGATCTTTCTCCAAACCCTAATATAGTACTTAGCTATAAGTCTTTTTAAAAATTACTTAAAAATGTATTAAATTTTTAAACACTTGATAAAAGTCTAGAAAACTGGAAGTATCAGGGCTTTTAAACAAATACAACATATGTAGGGACAAAGCAACTATTTTTCAAAATTCAACTTGTATAGACTAGTAACCTTTTCTACATCCATTCTTCAGATGATGTCTTATAGAACTCCAAGGATTTGGAGACTGATTAAAAACTCCAAAGATCTTTTTCATATACAGAAGCAGTACCTGTTAAATCCTGTTACTAGTCACCTAAATAGTCTCTAACTAAGCTCCTATTCTCTCAGCTTAATCAGTTTATCATCAAGAATGTTTATGGAATCATTCATTTTAGCTATAAATATAAAAATGTATGTAGTGCTTTTATTGTTTTAAAGAATTTCCACATAAATTATCTGGTATTAATCAAATACATCTACAGGACAGGTAAGAAGGTATTAGGGAATTAGGAAATTTGTAGTTTAGTAATGACTTGCCTAGTTTACAATTCAGCAATAGTAGCAGCAGCAGCAGTGTTGACATTTCCAAACGCTTTCTCAGGAAATCATTTGATGTTGTGATCATAACTTCACATTGTATGCAGTTTTAGGATGCTTGAAGGCAAGTTAAATAAAATTACTGCAAAGGTGGCAGAAAGTCTTTAGCTGTAGCAGCCAAATTTCTTAATCATTTTATATAAGACTCTGAAAACTAAATCTTCCAAATTGTAATACAGTATTATTTAAAATCCACTTCTATGTTGAATATACTTATTGTCAAGTTTTTTTTTTTAAGTTTGAATTCTTCTATCTGGAAGGACAAAATATTAACAGTACTTCTCAAGAGGATGGCTGCGCTTTTTACAATCAAGTAACTCGAGAATACAGAGAAGCGAAGTCTGTCAATAAGCCCCTGCAGAGTTGATCTATACATGCCAGTTACTAGTGTCTTCTAAAAATCACTGTTCAGTCCTTAAAGTTAACTAAGTTAACTAAGTCCTTAAAGTTAACTAAGTTAGGGCTCTGGTTCTTAATACCATTTCAGGAACCACCTTCTTCTCAGAACCACCAACAACCCTCATTTTTAACTCAGCGCTCAGACTAAAAAGGATTATATGTTCTCAGCTACTGCTAGAGTCCGGGTCCCCTAAAACTCATACCAAAACAAGGCGCTATAGTTCAGCATTTCCGAGTTATTTTTGCAGTCGTGGCGTGAATCTGAGCCAACGTGCCTGTGTGAAGCGCCAGACAGCCCAGGGTCCCCATGGTTACCGCCACAGCAACGCGTAGTGGCCCGCGGGGCAGCAGGCCCCAGCCCCTGGACCGCCGCGGGCGGAGTTGGAGGGGGGGGCCTGGAAACACCAGCCCGCGCCTCACCGACCGCGCCGGAAAATTCACTTCTCCAAAGTGAAGCAAACGTCTTCAGGGCCGCGCCGTGAAAACAGGAGGAGCAAGGCAACCCCACAACTGCTCATCCTCGCTCGCAGCAGCTAGGACAGAACTCCCGGCTACACCAGGCCGCGTCGGTTCTCTCTTCATGACTTTTCATTTAGCTTCGCTTTTTCGTACCCGCTCAGGAGATTTAAGACGCCTCCACAGATAATAACAGACGCCAAAGACGCGGCGCCCCAGCCCGTCCGCCAACAACTCACGCCTTTCCCACGTTTTCACCGCAGACCCGCCCCTGGCCTAGAGGCGTGCGAGCCCAGGGAGACGCGAACTCCCGCCAGGCGTGCCCCGCCTCGCCCCGCCCCCAGGCGCGCGTCCCACCCGGGTGAGAGGCGTGGAGCACGTTGCCCCGCCCCCCTCCTTCCCAGGCGAGAGCAGTTCTGGGTGGAGGACTGGCAATTCCGCAATTCATTTCTTTTTCACTCCCGCTTACAGGACCGTTTCCATGATAGCAAAAGAGAGGCCCCAGTAAAACTCAACAATCATAAAAGATTAACTGTTAACTAAAAGTCGTTTCGCTACCACATCTCGCCAGCTTATCCCTCCCCGAAGAGCTCGAGCTCCACCCCCGCCAAGCCGGCCCCGAAAGCCACCCCCGCGGGCTCGCGCTTACGCTTTCCGGGCGGCGCGCGACGCGCTCGCTCCGCCCCGCGAGCCCCGCCCCCTGCCCCCCGCTCCCTCTCTCTGGAGAGCCAGCGCGTACGAATCGGGGCCTGAGGCGTCAGGGACGCGCGGGCACCTCATCCTTCCCACCTTCCTACACTGTTGCTACTTTTCGGTGTGAGATATTCCAGCTTCTCTTCCCTTTCCGTGAGTCCCTCTTTCTCTCTCCTCAGAGACCCCGCTCGCCCCACAGGCGGTCGCCGCCGCAGCTCTCGCGCCCCGAGCGAGCAGTGCGCGTGCGCGCGCGCGGACGCGCGGCCGTCGGGTCCCCGCGCTTCCCCCCTCCCTCCC